TCCATCTTTCTTCAAGCAAGCGCGGACTAAAAAACAATACATTTAGTTTTCAGTTTCCAACCTGACAATTTATCCTTGAAAGTTATAAGAACGTTATGTTAAAAGGTAGTTGTAAAATTGTGAACTGTGACATTTTTTCAGTTTATTTTCATAGATCACCAAATTTTAGAGTACTGCCATCTTTTTGTCTAAATATCTACATTTATTTTCAAAATTCCATAATTCAACTTTTCATTGCCTTTGGGAATATATTAATTTATGAAAACCAAAAGAACGTTTTCTTGGTACTAGCCAATAGTTTGCCATTTAGAGATAGCCTGAGCAAATTGCGGAGGAGATAAAATTTGTCATCAGTATTAAAAAAGAACACGGTAACCCAATTGACTCTCATCCAAATAGTTTTCTTCCTCTGTTATTAAGAAAAGAAACCCAGAACCTGTTCCCATTCCTACTACTCCTCCATCCTCTAATTCCCATCACTCATGGAACCTACAATCCTAAACATCTCTTACATCTGTCAATGTCTTTCCATTCTCACAACCTCTGCCATCTCTCTCTCCTAGATTACCTTTGTGCTTTTACGAAAATCTCAGAATTTTGTTCAGTGAAACTTTTCAGTGAATATAAAGAGGCTGGAGCAGAGAAAGCCTTCTGAATATAGCACCAGAACCAAATGTGAAGAAACTTATTTTTGCAGCTCTAAGAGTCCAGGACCCAGACTCTGTTCTGCCACCCTAATTAGCTATAATTACCTTGAACATAGCATTGAGCATTTTTCCACATTGCAGAGGGGGTGTTTAAAGCTTTTGTATAGAAAAGCAAGTATGCACATTTTCAGAGGACATAATAATAAAATATATAGCAATACGAATATAAGATACAGAAAATAGAAACTTACGTGCAAAATTACTGGCATCACCAGTGTCTAGATAAAATTTCTGGCCCACATCATTTGTTTTCCCAGAATATCTATCAGCATAGTGACCCATCTGCTGGCAGCACGCCCCACTTGGACAGGGGGAAGCACTTATTCTTACGTGAAAACAAACAAATGATGAATGAGGGATGCCCTTTCCTTTATTTAATTGTGTACCATATTTGCCCTACATGTTGTTGCTCATTCAAATGATTCTAAAGGCCAGTTCCTGTTCTGACGGTAAACGGGGATTTTAACAGGTATCTCAGGCAGTAAGATTAAACAATGCATTTCATTATTCACAACAGTAGTCACCAACTTCACTGTTAAACAACACAGCCTCCTATAAAAAATCATACAGTGAGCTGGGGTGCGGTGGCTCACACCTGTAGATCCCAGCCACTGGAGGCCTGGAGGCCAGGTGGATCACCTTGAGGTAGGAGTCAAGATCAGCGCTGACCAACATGGCGTGAAACCCCGTCATCTACTAAAAATTGCCAAAAAATTAAAGTTGGACATGGTGGCGGGCCTGCCTATAAATCTAGCTACTCTGGAGGCTGAAGCAGGAGAATTGCTTGAACCCAGGAGGCAGAGGTTGCAGTGAGCCGAGCGTATGCACTATTGCCACTCAAGTCTTGGGGCAAGAGCAGCAAGACTTCGCATCTCAAAAGAACAAGACAAACAAACAAAACAAACAAATTTTCTTTTAATACAATGTGAGTAATGTTAATATAGTATTATTTTATGTGTTGGTGTGTGCTGTGTATCTGATCTTCTATTTTCCTTCTTTTGCCCTAATTTGCTTCCCAAGACATTTCATCTACTTACAAGCTAGATTATTGTAGTTTAGTAAAGATTGCATAAGATAGAATAGAGTGTGTTTTATAAGTCATCTTGTGATAACAATCATTGAATGTCGTAATGTGGTTTTCCTTTTTTTTTTTTTTTTTTTGTTGAGATATTTAGTCTTCTTCTCTGTTACGCAGGCTAGTTGTATTACAGTGGTGCGTGTATCCGTGCTTGCTCACTGCAAGCTCTGCCTCCCGGTTGTTCACCACCAGTTTTCTCCTGTTTCAGCCGTCCAGAGGCACATGTGTTGGGACTAGTAGGCATCCCTCCATCCTACGCTCGCGTTATTTTGTATTTAGTAGAGACAGGGGTTTCACCATGTTTAGCTCAGGTGATGGTCTTCGATCTCCTGACCTCAAGCTGGCGTGGGCTGGTCGTGCGCCTCCCCAAAGGTGCGGGTGTATTACAGGCTGTAGCCATCCGCGCCTGTTCTTCTTCATGATTTTTTTAGTCATGTTAGCATATCAAGCCCTGCTAAGATTCGTTATCCCGAAATTCCTGGTATTTGAAGAGATAATGCCTTCAGCGTAGCCTAAGCTTACTCGAGTGCTATTACCTGAGTAATGACATTATTCAATTATAG